TTATTTATTCGTGGGTTGATTGATATAAAGAAAGGAGATGAAGGATAGATTGGGATTTAGGTGGACTTAGTGGGTCATAACAAAGGTTTGACAGAGGGTTTGAAGTAGTTTCGAAGCTTTTGTTTAATACAACTGGGGAGGAGGAGGAGCAGGCAACGGCGGCTTGGCTGGCAGTGGAAGGTATGTGGTTCTTGTTAGGTTTGGTGGATGGTGCCAGTGGGTGGCTGCTAAAACTTTTCATTTTCTAATTTTTTGTTTTCATTTATTTTTTAATTTTTTGGACTCGATAGTGTTAAGTTAAGGTTAAAAGTGTTAAGTGAATGTGTTAAGTGAATGTCCAGGTGTCAATGGTATTTTAGGAATAATAGTGGGTGAAAAGATAAGATTGTATTTTTAAAAAATTTAAATTGTGGGTGTGAAGATAAGGTGGGTGAAAAAAATAGGATAGGGGGTGGAAATAACAGCACTCTTTTTTTATAAAACTATGTCTAATCTAAGATTGGGACCAAGACCAGAAGACCTGCAATTGCTAGCGGATGAGAAAGAAAATCCATGAGGGATGGCTGGCTATGGTGACAAAAGTGAACTTCCAATTAATTTATGGTTTGTTGGCGGTAAAAGCTGTAGTGTCATGGACAAGGAAAGATGACATGTTGGGCCACTAGCCACTCAAATTGAATGGTTAATGTTTCTTCATTGACTAAGGTTTTGGGAATGATAATTGGTTATCACCAAGGACGACCTTCCAATGCACATGGGTTGAAAAATTTGAGTTGGATAATGTTGTTAATTCTTTCTTTTGCTTGCAAGATTTGAGTACCTGGATTCAATTATAATATTCAACTCATATCATTGAAAAATGGCTTATATTTAATATTAGGTTAATTTCAGTTTGGTATCATAAACTCTCTCTTAGGTCTCGTTTGGTTTACGGAATGGATTTGAGGGGAAATCATTTCCCATGTCATTTTCCAAGGAATGGGAATGAAAGATTCATTTTCCACGTTTGGTAATATCGGGAAAGTAATCGGAAGATTTCACTTTGTTTTCTTTCCCATGTTTGTTTTGAGTAGGAATGGAAAACAAAGTTTGTATAATTTTCCAATTATACCCATATTAAATCAAATAAAAAAAGAATGCATTTAATGATATGTTGTAATTATAAATTGTTCATAGGGACAAAATAGTCATGAAAATTGTGTATTGAATGTTGGCTCATTTTCCCAAACTTTCCCATGAGGAGGGAAAACAAAACCCAAGAGGAGGGTTTCACTTTCCCCCATACTTTCCCATGTGCCAGGCAACCATTTCTCATGCCTGGACTTACCAAACATGGTAAAACAATTGAATTCCCATTCCCAAGCCTCATTTCCCATGAACCAAACGGGGTCTTAAGGCATGTTTGTCCCCACATTCTCAATTTTAACAATAAAGTACCCAATATTTGTAAATTTTTTGTAATGTGGCTCTTCCGTTAAAAGAACTGTTAAAGAATTAATTAAGTGATGACGTAGTATATATGGGATCCACTTTTTTAAACTTAAATTAATTACAATATAATAAATAAAACATTAAAAAATTCAGAAAAATAAAAGAAAATTAAGAATTTATTTAATTTATTTATATAAAAAAAAAAAAAAAAAAAAAAAAAAAAAAAAAAGAAAAAAATATAAAAAACCCATTCCCATTCACACACACCCATGGATTTGGATCCTTTACTTGGATTTTCACTGCCATAATATGCTTGTCTTTTACTCTCCACGGGTTACATCATTTAAATTTCATCCAAAGACTTGACTTGAGTTAGTCTCTCAGTAACAAGAGGAAGAAAAGTCCGATCTTACAACCACTTCATCACTGTCTCTTTTCATCCAATATCATAATCAATTCTTGCCAATCCTCAAAATCCAATCTTACAACTATTTTAGGGAATTAGTTTAATGTATAAAAGAAATATATATATATATATATATATATATATAATCCAAGGGGTAGAACAAGTTATTGGGCAGAAAGAAGACATTGAAAAGCGAAAAATGAAAAGAACAAAATATGAAGAAGAAAACAGAAGAGAGGCTGCAGAAGATAGGTAACGTTACTTGGTTTAGGGTTTTCGTTTTAGTTTTAATTACTTGTTTATTTAAGTTTTAAGCAAATTGTTGTTTTTTTCTTCTAATAAAAATTAGTGATGTGTCAACTCTCAAACCCTTTGGATGAAATTTAAATGAAGGGGCACGTGGAGAACAAAAGTCAAGCAAATTATGATAGAGAAAATCCAAGAAGAGGATCTGGAATCCCTACGCTCATACGTGTATGATGCATAACTAAATAATGGTATGAGAGGATGAGAATATCATTTCTCTGTGCGAAACCACTAGATCAAGGACGCAAAACGAAGAGGACCCAAATTAATTGAAATCATTCTAAAGAGAAATAAAAAGTCAAAAATTACACTAGCCACGATCGCCATGTAGAAAACCCAAATTCATCGAACAGCAAAAGAAACATAACAAATGTGTGATACCACCCGCTTCTGCCCATGTGAGAGGTTTTTTTTTTTATATATAAATTTTTTAAAATTTATTTTAGAATTAAAAAAGATAATGGATAGTTGTGTTTCATAAAAATAAGATCTATGATCTGATTTTTCTTTTAATTTTAATTTTTTAATATGAAAAAGTGTGAATTTACCACATTATCCTCATTTACTTAATAATTTCAATTTTTAATGTTTGCATTAACCAAATGCATTTTCTTGTATTTTGAATGTTTCACCATTTTCTATATTTTGCTTTATATATATAGATAAATATTTTTCTTAATTTTAGTTAGTTTTTTTTTAATGTTTATTAATATTATAATCAATTTAAGTTTAAAAAAGTGGTACTCATATATGCCACGTCATCACTTAACATATTCTTTAACAGTTCTTCTAACGGCAAAGCCACATTGCAAAAAATTTATAAACATAGGATTTTATTGTTAAAATTGAGAGTGCAAGTACAAACATGGCTTAAGAGCACTTCCACCAGTTAGTCTCTTGCCATGGCAAGGGGAGCCCTAGGGCAGCTACTATTCATGTGAATAGTGGCTGCCCTACCCCCCCTTAGCAAAGTGTGTTTCCAGCAGTTTAGGCTTGCCATGGCAAATACTATTCATTTTTTTGTTTTTTTTCACAACTTTGTTTACTTAAACAATTAATTTGGATAATATTTTCGGATAAGATTTTTGGGTTCCTACATATGAAAAATCATTTTCTCAAGATTTTTAGCGGAGGTGCAATATTGACTAAGTATGAAAAATGGTTTTTCGGAATAATCATTTTCTCAAGATAATTTTTGGCGGCTTTTATTCCTTACACATCAAATAAGAAAACTTGATTTTATGGGATTTTAATATGAGGTATATATTCACTTAATGAGCAATCATTTTTAGCATAAATCGTATTTTGCACTAAAACCGATTTTTCATATTTTGATTTGGTGGGAATTTGATTTTCTAGTATTTTTATTTGAATCCAAATGGGGGGTACTTCCTTATTTACATTGTAAACTTAAGTAAATGGAGTAATATAAAAATAAATAAAAGTAAAAGGACAAAGACATTTACTTGAATGTTGAAAATGGAAATAAGGTATAGAGAAAAAAAAAAAAAAAAAGTAATTTTTTGGTATTTTTTTCAATTTTTTATTACAAAAATATTGGCTGCTGGTGTTAAAAGTGAAGAGTATTGGTTGGTATTTATAGAAAAACAATTCAGTATTTTTTACATTTTTTTCGATTTTTTTTATTGGGCAAAAGGAGCACTGTAGCGCGTTGACGTCAGATTGCTCTCGGGCTGGCGCTCGGGCCAGCCCAGGTAGCTGGGCCCCACTCCTTGCCCTGGCAGATCTTTGTTGCTGGAAACCCCATTTTGGGTTTGCCCCCCAACCCTCCCCTTGGGCCCTTTGCTGGAAATGCTCTAAGGATGAGAATTCATGATACTAAACTGAAATTAACCATTTAATATTTTAAGGACTTAAAATACAATTCACAACCTATCCTTGATAGAGTTGGAAGGGCAACCTTGGGGTTATGTTAATTTCTAGTGAAGTTGCCTTTGGCAAAGTAGTGGCTAGTTCTTCAGTCAAGTCCACAGGCATGTCCAAAGGTGTTGCCAATTCAAACCCTTGAAGTAAGCGTCCAAGTGTCAGGTGGGTGACTTGCAATCCAAATGTGACACCTGGACAAGACCTTCTACCAGACCCAAATGGAATAAACTCAAATGTTGACCAGAGGCATCAATGTCCACATGTCTTGTGAGAAATCTATCTGGGCAAAACACTTCAGGATCTGCCCACACACTTGGGTCTCTATGCCATTTCCACAAGTTCACAAGCAATTGAGTGCCCTATGACCGTAATTTGGGGTTAATTTCTTTTTCTTTACATTGCAGAACTTTTGCATTCTTTTTCTTGGGTCAAGTTTTAAAGGGTACTAGAAGATTGTCCTGCTTTCTTGCTCTCTTATGGGTAGTTTGAGCTAGTAGTATCCAAAGAACTACAAAGTTCTGCTACAACTTATATAAGGTCCACTAAAGCGAAATTAGACCAAATGACACCTTTTAACAAGTAATAAACTTTTGTGACTAGCAAACCAAAAGTTAAATAATTCTAACTCTTTAATCATTTTTTGATTCAAAAAACCATATGTTCGACTATTTGTTCAACTCAAGTTACGTGTGGGTCTTCACACACATGCAAAAAGGGTTAAAATTGTAGGGCATGGCAAACTTGTGCCACAAAAAGTTTTTTTTTTTCTCTCATTTTTCATTTTAACTAGAGAACTTAAAACGACATACCATTCATGTTGCCTGGATGATAGTTTCAAGGGTATAGCCAAGCTTGGAAGTGTCAATCACAGAAAGCATGACATCAATGAAGTCATGCTTGTGACTTGAGTTAGTCTCCTTCTTTACATAATGTTCTTCAACCCAACTTCCCATCAAAGAGTCTAATTCCTTCACAATGCGCGCTTCATCTCTTTAACTTCCCCCTTGAAATCAATCCAATCTGGAAACCCAATCACATCAGCAGCAACTGGGTTCCCAGCAACCATAAACTCCTTCACAATTTTCCCAATATTTTGTTCCTCTCCTTCTCCTCCCTCTCTACCACTATCAAAATACCTCTTCCCATCAATCATTCTAGTCATCACATTCAAAGTTAGGTGTTGTATCCAATCACTGATCGCCACGTTGGTCGGACAAAGACCATTATGCCCTTCTCTATTGCAAAAGGCATGCAACCCTTTAACAAAGGCATCAACCTCAGAAGAATGGACATGTTTTAATGTCTCAAGCCTACGGCTAGAGAGCAATTCAACCACGACCATTTTTCTCATGTCACGCCAATATGGGCCATATGGTGAGAACCCAAACGCTGCATGGTTGTAGCCAAGGTACTTGCCTTGCGTTGACCTTGGTCTTGTGGCGAAAACTCTGTTGTTTTTCGTGAAGCAATCTTTGACTGCCTCGTAGTTGCTGACCACAAGTGCACGGTTCTTGCCAAGCCTTAGGGTAAATATTGGACCATACTTGTCAGCCAAGGCTGCTAGGGTTCTGAAAAATGGGATTCGGCCACCTACTTTATGGAGGTGACCTATAAATGGCAAGGCACCCGATGATTCTGGGGCCAAAGTGCCCTTGATTTTGTGGCTTTGGATTATCACCCTCCATAGATATAAAGAACCAAGACTAATAAAAAACCTGCAATTGCTAGTAGATGAGAAGAAAATCCATTAGGGCTGGCTGGCTATGGTGACAATTTGCTCAATATTTTGTACATCAAAATTGAACTTCCAATAATTTCATGGTTGGTTTATGGTGATGTTTGATTTCGAACTTTCTAATGCAAGTGAGTTGAAAATATTGAGTATGAACTTTGAGTTTGGTTAGAATTATAATCTTCAACTCATACGATCCCTGCTTGCAACTGGTGAATTCGGTTAGCACAGCTTTGTATTTTGTGAATTTAAATTAAAATTAGTTCTAATTTGATATGTATTTTTTTACGTTTATTTTTAGGTTACATCTAGTCTAATTATTTATTTTCAATTACGTATTTATGGGGTTTGTGATTTTAATATTTGACTGTTACAAGATTAATTAATGGCCAAATTGTATTAATAATTGTTCTTATTACACAAGTTTTCACTTTCGTTTTCATCCAAAAAAAAATTTGAAACCATTGATCTACAAGTCAATGTTCTTTTGGTTCAGATTGATACAGCCCGTTGGCACAGTTTGATTGGTATACAAAGTTTCACATTATTATTCTTGTGAACGAACATAAATAAAGCCAGCGATACGTGGAAAACGTTTTCGACCCAGGTCCCCACCCAATAGATAATTATATTACATTTCGGCTTGTGGCTGATATTTTTCAACTGGCAACGAAATCTCGCCCATGTGTTTTCACAGGCCTGATATTTTTCAACCAGGCTTTACATCAAAGGACACTTTGTAAAACATGTTTCACCCTAGTACAAAGAATCATGATCGATCGTACAATGTTATTTTCTGTGTTTGATGTGTTTTTCTCCCTAATTTTCGCAACCTAAAAAGGTCCGAAGAAGGCAATTGATATATTGGATAATTGATTATCGGCCGGGAAATGGATATGAAGGTAAGTTTGTATCTCTCTTTTTTCGCAGCTCAACAATGCCCCTAACGGATTACAAATTTCTCAGTATCATGCTTTGTACTGGGTCCAATCATGTAAAGCACTGGCACCACTCAAGGCTTTTCCTGAGGACGAAACAACACTGTTGCTAGTACAAAAGAACCTTTAAATTATTTTGATTCACTATTTGTTAGTGTTAGCTAGCTAACTTGACGCTTCAAAATAGCAAACATTACCGACATATAAGTAGGGTACAAACTCCAACCAACGTGTATCTCAGTACGTACCCAATATGAATTTAATTAATGTGAATGGAAGGATAGAAAATAGAAAACATTGATCAATGAATGCATGGGGACTACAAAAGGGAACATATTCTTGTGAGTATTGTCTTCAACGATGATGGCTGACTTGACTTCATGTTTTAACAATATGAAAAGCAACTCAAGACTTAACCTCTATAAATACATATACAAAATGAATTATATCCTACACGCAATTATATTCCCATTTGTAACACACACACTCTCTCTCTCTCTCTCTCTCCTCTCTCTCTCTCTCTCTCTCTCTCTCTCTCTCTCTCTCCCACCACCACCATGGATTTTACAATTTCCCCAATCCAAATTCTTGGAACAATTTTATCTTTGCTTCTTCTCTACATTGCCTTGAGAATCACAGCTCACACTAAGAACAAGATCACCAGCACAAAGACGACCGTGACAACCAAATTAGTCCCCCAACCTTCTGGAGCATGGCCCTTCATAGGTCACCTCCCTCTGCTACGTGGCAAAAACCCAGTTGCCATAACCTTGGGAGCCATGGCCGATGACCATGGACCACTCTTCTCCCTCAAGCTTGGCCAACACCAAGTGCTGGTCCTCAGTGCCTGGGAGACAGTCAAAGAATGCCTCACAACAAACGATAGAGTTTTCGCCACACGACCAAGCATGGCAGGAGGCAAGTACTTGGGCTACGACAATGCCGCTTTTGCAATAGCCCCTTACGGGCCCTATTGGCGCCACGTCCGCAAGTTGGCCATGCTGGAGCTCCTCTCAACCAAAAGAGTCGAAATGCTGAGCCACGTTAGGACCTCAGAGGTTGACTTGTTCGTCAAAAATCTGCTCTCACTTTGTACGAAGAATGGCTCAGGAACCACACCAGTGCATTTGAGTGAGTTAATTGAGTTCTTAACGTTCAACATAAACGTGAGGCTGATTGCTGGGAAGAGATTCACAGCTGAGCAATATAATGAGAAAAACAGTGATGCTTGGCGTTTTGAAAAGGCTGTGAAGGATGCTTTGTATCTGCTTGGCGTTTTTGTTTGGTCAGATGCTATGCCATGGCTTGAGTGGCTGGACATCTTGTTTGGGCATGTGGGTTCCATGAAAAGGTGTTTTAAGGAACTTGACTGTGTGCTTGGGAAATGGCTTGAAGAGCATCGCCAGAGATCAAGGCCTCAATGCAAGATCGATAGGGCTGAAAGTGATTTGATGGATGTGATGATGTCCAGCTTTCAAGAGGAGGATGATGTAATTTTTGGCCATAGCCGTGATGATGTCATCAAAGCAACAGCACTGGTAAGTTTAATTTAGCGTAACAATATAAAGCTATCCAACAACAAACACTAACTGAAATCGAGCTGTCAAATTACGAATTTACCCAAATATAATTTTACCCAAATTATAAAATGAAAGTGTACAAATCTTAATATCTTTGAACTCAATATCTGAATGGTGAATCCTAGACCCAGTTCACATGTTACTTATAATATTACACATACCTAAATCAAGGACAGAAGGAGGCCTAGGCTAGAAGCGGCTCCGGCCCGCTCAATTTTTGCCCATCCCTTTAGCACATGTGTATAGTAAATAGAAGGAGATAATAGGAACAATGATAAAATTTCAGCTTATAGTCCCCTAGACATTGAATTTTGGCTCCGCCCCTGATCACAATATCACATGATGGTGAAGCCATATGCAAGCTTGAGGTGACCAAGGCCACTCAAATTTACATGCGGCTCTCTCCGATTGGCCTCACCAATAGCTTCCACACATAATATTATTATCAGAAATGGGTCTTTTAATTATTATACAAATGTTAATTGTTTTCCTTAATTGCTTTTGGCAGGTTCTAATCCTAACTGGCACAGAAAGCACATCCGTCACTCTAACATGGGCACTCTCCCTGCTACTGAACAACCCAACAACCCTAAAAGCTGCTCAACAAGAACTAGACATCCACGTAGGAAGAGACAGATGGGTACAAGAATCAGACCTCCCAACCCTCAAATACCTCCAAGCCATTCTCAAAGAAACCCTACGCATATACCCACCTGGCCCACTCGCAGGCCTGCGTGAAGCCACAGAGGATTGCCACCTGGCAGGTTACCATGTGCCCAAAGGCACCCGTGTACTAGTCAACATTTGGAAACTGCAGCGAGACCCACGCATGTGGGCTAACCCAGGTGAATTCCAACCCGAGAGGTTCATGACCACCCGTGCTGACGTGGAATTCAAAGATCAGAATAATTTTAAGTATATTCCGTTCGGCTCGGGTAGGAGGTCGTGCCCTGGCATGGTTTTGGGGCTGCAAGTGGTCCAATTAATTCTGGCTCGTTTGGTTCAAGGTTTTGATATGAGCAGGGTTGATGAGGAGGCAGTGGACATGCGTGAAGGGCTGGGGCTTGCCCTGCCCAAAGCAAATCCACTGGAGGCTTTACTATCTCCACGCCTTCCTGTTCACCTCTATAAATAATGTATTTGAAGAAGTTGGCAGCTTCAATGACTCTCTGTGTTGATTAAAAAAAAGTAGATTTTGTTGAGGGTATATTGTGGTTGTTCTTGCGTTCTGGAGCTTCTATGACTTGGCATTTGGTTATGTATTGCAGGAAATTGAGAGAGAGGTCTTTATCTGAGGGAGGGGGTAGGGGTAATGGCAGTGCTTAGTTCAGTTGCTGGGTGTGGGTGGGGAGACTGGTTTTTATTTTTATTTTTATTTTTATGAATAAGTTTATTTATCTAATAAAATTTGATATGTATTTTCTAATTTATCTTTAATTTTGACGGAAAAACAATCAGAATTGACAGAAAGGACGAGTGATGGAACGATAGATTTGTAGGGGACTTTTTCTTCCGGCAACTGTAAATGGGTCGAGCTGCCATAAATGGCAGACTGATGAAATTGTCCCCTTTACCTGAGTTCGAAAATTAGGCCCCAAAAATGCTTCGAAAGGGCAGTAGAGCCTTAGGAAGTATCTTGGTTAGCTTCACCGACTAAAACAACAGCAATTTACAGATAATTTATGCATGCTTACAGATAAAATTTTGAGCTTGGCTTGAGAGGCATGTGGCATGGAAGCAAAATCAACATGAGTTTCGCACTGAGGAGAAATTTAGGCTTTCTTGGGGGAAAAAGGGAGTGTTAAGGTAAGAAATGAGAAGTTTTGTAAGAGATTTGGCTAAAAAGGAAAGAAATAGATAACAGAGTTCTTCCGGCAGCTTGACAGATGCTCTATCTGCTAGAAGAGAAGAATGGAGAAGAAAAGTGAATAGTGCACGAGGTTGCTGGGTTTTTGCAAGTTAGGGAGAAAGCTTGCTCTCTCAATCTGGGTTGGATTTGTTAGGTAGGAGAGGCTTCATTTTATAGCCACTGGAAACGATCACTTCCGAAGAAACCCTAATGGCTTCTACCCATTTTGGCCAAGCTTTTCCCCTTCTTTCTCATCTCCTTCCTTGACTTTTCCCATTTTGATGAAATCCCTTCTCCCTATTTGCACCAGATCAGAGTTTTTTTTGAAGCTCAAGGCCCCTTTTTCCCGCAGCTGTCTCAATGGGAGACTTCCATTCCCAGCTATCTCTTTTATTGCTTTCTTCTCTTTTTTCCATGGCCAAGTCTGATGAGGAAATGAGTTGGGATATATATGTTGGTTCGAAGGGTGTTCCTCTTTTTGGCATCTTACATGCTAATACCCCCTGGTTCCTTGAATATTTTGGCTTTGAAACTTGCTTCCCCATGTGCTGGAACCTCCCAGCAGCTCTGTTCAGTGAACCTGCAG